TCGAAGATCTCATGAGTCATTGGACGGACGAGCAGCGCGATCAATTTTTCGCAGATTGGAATAATGACGATGGTTTGCTTGACATCGGGAAAGAACCTTACGGAAATAATACGATCCTACAAGATGGTGGCAATAGAAAACGTAAGCACGAAAATTGGCCAGAGAGCGAGACAAGCAAACGGCAACATCCCGAGGAGTATTTCACCACCAAATCGCCTAAACAAGTAAACGTGAGAAAGTTTAAAGTGCAAGTTCTTTTTAACCCAGCTGGTGTAAACGACACTTGATTTAAAAAAATAAGCATTAGGAAATGGAATAACTAGAGGCAATTTAACAGTGAAACTGCATGCTCGTTGAATACCAATTTTGAAACGTTCTAACAAAAGGTATAGGTAAATGACTGCAAACTAAACTGTAAGATTTGTAACAACGACAACGTCAAAACGCTAATTGTGAAACCGCGGTGGTTAGCGCTATCCGGCTTTCATACAACCGGCTTCTGATTGTTCTGATAGTATTTTTGTAATTCCCTTTCAATGGCTAAAAAATATCCTAATTTTGATTAATGGTTCAATTTAAATTCGCCACATTATAGTCATTACCGCCTAGAAGTTCCGGTGATGATAGGTCATGATAATCGTTTTTAACGTAAACAAATGCTTGTTGTTGCTTGGTTGTTCACAAAGAGTGCAGGAAAGTTTCGATCATTATTCTAGCTTTGCCTTAATTTCATAGATATAGTTGCTGTAACCTGTTCATTCGGTGACAACCAGCCTAGTCCTAGGCCTTGTGAGCGCGCGCTGGTAACTATGCAGGGGCGCCCACGCTGTGAGGCATAGCACAAAACGTTGAGAGGCAAATATTTTGAAATCAGTATTGCTTGAGAAAAATTTTCTTGCCTTCATTTTGAATTAAGAATTAAAAACATTTTCTGCTAGTTCTCTCCTGCGCGTTCAAACTGGTGACGTCACAAGAATGCAAGGTGCGCATATCAAACTCTCGCTATACAAATAGTCAGTCTATTTAACAAATAGATGAACCGGTTTATTGTAATCTATTTGTTTTATATAATAAAACTGAAAAAAATCCAAAATTAAACCGGTAAAAAGAAAACGTGTGCCTTAGAAACTGAAGCTATCTTTCACTTACACACGGATTTTTAAATTTAGACCTATGCCGCACATTCTTTATTGCTTTTGGTAAAGATTCGTCGTATTCCGGAGTCGGACTTTGGGGGTTGAATGTTGCGGGCTATATAAGAATATTGGTCAAAAATCGCCGTTTAGAGCGGAAGTTGCGGGAAAACTCCTCGTACTGCTTCCACTATACAATATTTCTTTTCCTTACATTCGGAATTGAAATCTACATGTTTTGGCGCGTATTTTGATATGAATTTCGTACATGTTCAACGTGAATTAGCTTCGGACCGATGGCCATGAACTGTAGGTATTTTTCGACATTGCTCGGCATTTGCATATGTTTTTCACACATTAATTAATGCAGTCTCTGCTGTTGGCGATGTGAATCAGAATGGAGGCCGCCGTTTACTTACGAGATAAGCAGGAAAGAGAATTTTCTATTTTCACCTTGTATGCTTTAATATAGTACTGTTTTAATAATACCACAGTTGTGTATATTTTGACAAATTTTAAGCCTGACAAGTGCTGTCTAAATATATACTGTAAATAGCGTCGGCAATAGCCTACTCTGCTACAGTACACATTTTAATGTATTTCATTTTAATCATTAAAATGATTTTCTTATTGATATATTGTGTATATATTATATAATATGCTGGAATAAGGGACATTAATATCGTTCACATCGGCTGCCTGCGCGTGTAAAGGCGAATTTTAATCAAAAGGTTTTATTGTTATTGTTATTATCGGCTCTATCGTCTGTATTGACGCAGCGGCCAAAATACGAGGCTTTTCATGCTGAAGAAACGGGAAATATATTAACTTTTCCATAGCCCATAGGGTCGCCATTCATCAAAACGCGAATCGTATCCTATAAAATGCGTACGAACACGTTCATTTTTTTGATCAACCTCTTTAATCTCAACCTCGTAGAGGTTATTGTCTTTCGCCTCCCGTTTAAATGATTTTTTCCGCATCGAACCGCAAATTCGTGGAGAAAACGTTGCGCTATAGAGGACTAGGGTCGAAATGCCCACTCACCCCCCAACCCTTCTTCCGCACAAACAAAATAATGAAATGGTGAAAGAGTACTGAAAAAATATTTTAGCTCCTGGTCCCCAAACTTCTTATAAAGGTCCTGCCCAGTGAACTCTATATATATGGAAGGCTCGCTCTAGTGCCTTGCATAATCTAAAAGTGAAGCCAAACATGGTGGATCATGAAGGCTGCTTGGGTACCGAACCAGACCTCCACGCACAAGCGGTTAAAATTTAATATGGCGGCAACGTCTAGGAGTTGAACTCGGTCAGTCTTGTAACACACACACAAATATACGGCATAAGTTACCTTTCTAAAAGAATTTTCCAGGTAAGGTTGTAACAAATAGTATGTATTCCTTTTTAAAAACTTCGTATTTTTAAAACTTTGTAAAGTCCAAAATGTTAGCTTTTTTATTTTTCGTCATAGTTTTATAATTCGTGTTTTTAATTTCCACGCGCGGTTCGAGCATTTTACGCTTCGTGGAGAACTGGTTCCGTACCCAAGGAGCCATTATTGACTGAATCAAGTTCAAAGTTGGATGCAGTTGGGCTCAAAGTTGGGCTAAAGTGTAAGCGTGCCTGATTTATCTTTGTGACAGAACATTTTGCCGAGTCTGCAAAGTGAGTTTTCAATCACAATTTTGTGACCTTTTTTACATACAAACGCCCCAGAACAATAGGACGAGCATAAATTAAATTTTTATCAATTATTTTATCTAATCTTTATCTAGTATTAGGATGAATGATATAGACATATAGTTTACTTGAAACCTTTCATAACAAAGCTATTATTAACTTATTATAAATATTAAAATATACTGGTAGTTTAACATATATACCAATATAAATTTTGTATTATGAGTGTTATATTTGAACTGACGAATAAGTGTGTCGATGTAGATATTTTTGAAGAAATAAAACTCCTTAAATCCTGATAAAAAATAACATCTTAAAACACAACAAAGCTCCCTCAATGGCCTCTCACACCTAGGCCAAGTCTTGTGTGTATCTCAGATCAACCGTTTGCAAAGACGCATTATAATTGGTTGTCTTGCATGGATCATATCGTTTTAATGTTTTTCATTTTGCGCGCAATTACGCGCCGAGACATTTGTGCATTATTTTTGCAAGGGCATGTCGTTATTTTAGACAAATTGTTGTAACAACACGGTCCAGCTGAAATATATTCAGATGACGCACACTGTCTCTGATATTGTTTTGCTATCTGGTTTATTTCTCTCGACATCGCTTTGTTTTTGCGACGAAAATGTAAATAAACTCAAGATATCAAAGACTTAAGTAAGGGTGTTCGACCTTTAAAGTCATTAGCGCATTTGACCCTACGGAGTCAATTTGTAAAGATATCTGTAGACGGAAGGAAATCAAACAAACTCAAACTATATTTTGCTTGAAAATATATAGTACCTATTCCGTGGCTACTTAATCGTGGACTATTGTGCCCAAACTCAGGGTAAGAATATTTTTATATTAGATTGCTTTCTACTTAGTACTTTCTTGTTGACAAAACTGGTGTATTTTATTTATCGTAGCGCTACTTGCGTCTCGCGTTACGCAGTAAGAACCGCGGGTACGTTCGTCCAAGTGCGTACCACACAATCACGCATGTCATGGTCGACCAGACTTTATTGTGAAATGCCTTTTAAAATTAATGAAGTTTCACATGTTTTATGATGATTCTGTTAGTCATAAGTAGAATGAACTTAAGACACAACTGACAAACAGAACAATTCGTAAACCAAACTACTTAGCGAGCGCAGTGAAGTGCATGAGTGCATTCTATAGCTATATATATTAATAGTGATAATGGAATTTAATACCAACTGTGGCTAAATCCACAATGTGAAATATTATCACATTTCTAAAAATTCAACGAACTCTTCAACAATGATCATTTTTTTATGTAGCATAATGAAACATAATCTTTTATAACCGTTTTCAAGACCTCACATACCAAATTTTTTCATTTGTGAATAGCGTGGTCTGGGGGTCTGACCACTATAAGAATTAGCTTGAACTTGTCAGGCACTGAGGAGTGCCCCAGCTGTTGATTTGGCACAAACGTTTGTGTGAAAGTCGTAAGTATGATACGTGTGTACTCACCACGAATATTTTGAAAAAAATCTCACTTTATTCTTTCTCTATTCTTTTTATTATGTAGAACACCACGAATTCCGGCAGACTACTTCAATCCTTAACTGTTCGATTCATACGGTCGTCGAGGCAATAAAACTCGTGACTCCTTTCGGGAAACAGTCCCAAAGGCAAAGATTTGCAAAAATTGAACTGGTTGTACAAAATTTGCGTGACGAGTGGACTTTCAGTGCCAGCCGCGGTCGAACGGAGCTTACGCAAAGCTTGCAAAACCTACAGCCAGTTGCCAAAATTTAAATAAAAAATAAAAGCGTGGTATTTGATACGGATTTTTATGCAGTATCGTAACATCAAGACTATAAACAAGTAATCCATAATTATGCAGCCAAAGAAGGGTGCGAATGATGCGCGCAATGGAAAATCCGATTTGCGCAAGGCAAGATGTGATTTTCAAATAACGCGCATTCACGCGCATGGATCCAAAGAGCGCAGTGTCGAAGACTACATTCAAAGGCTGAAACTTATGGTGCCAAACATACGAACAGATGAAAAGTTAGACGAATTCGAAATACTTCAACGAGTTATAGAGTACATTCAGCTGCTTGAAGATGCATTGGGGATTAGTGTCACGCCTTTAACACGATCTATTCACGCCAGCAAAACAGATGGCAGAAATTTTTTTTGGGATCACTTTCGTTGGGAGCTTTGTAACCGCGCCTTATCCAAAATACATGTTTGGATATAAAGGGTCAATTTGGGTTATTTAAGTACTGCATATTAATGTTCCTGAAAAGTCATTAATACGGTTAATTAGCATTTAGCGGGAAATATTGAAATTTTCCCGCACCAAATAATAATAGAGCGTGGTATACTTATAATATAAACTATATCTTCAACCGGAGAAATTGTACGTATTCATTCAAATTCAGCTATTTACCAATCAAATTTAATCAAACTTCATCATGATGTCAGGTTACGCATTAAAAGGCTTCGTAAACTCAGGAAATACATGCTTCGTAAACTGCGTATTGCAGTCTATTCTCTCAACAAAGAGTTGCAATGAAGGCCTAGGTCAACTTCTGCACAACAGGAAAAGATGCACGGCGAACAAAGAAGGTAAACGTTTTATTTAATCGTGGTTATGCCTTATGGAAATTGGTTTCCCTTGTTGAATATGTGAAATTGGTTTCCCTTGTTGAATATGTGTGTAATTTCCCATGTGTGTAATTTTCCATGTAATTTCGCATAAAGCGACATAATATATTTCCCTGTGGGAGGGTCGTTTGGACTTCATATTGTGGAAAGTATAAATTTTGGTGCCTTCCATTATTTACCGTATTGCATTGAAATATTATATATGACAATTCTATAACTCCATGTAGTAGATTTTCAAAGTGGTATGCATAGGACAGACATATGGGTGGAGGGGTGGGTGTGACACCCCACACTTAGGGCAGGTGCATAGCAAGCACTACAGCAATAATTTGGGAGGGGGTTAAATGAGACTGATGATTTGTGGTAAAATCCCCACTTTCCAACAGTTTGATATAAAAAAATTGAAAGAATTACGAATTCTTTTCTGGTGATGAAAGTGGCAAAAGCTCCACTATATTTAACACAACCAGAGAAGATTGAACCAATAATTACAATGAAAGTGATGATGAACTAAAGTACTGGTACAAATATCTACATTAGGTTTGTGGTGATAAAAATACATAGTAATAGTAATATTTTTTAATGATATCTGGTATTCATTTTATATTCAGGAACAAAATGCATATTATGCAGTACACTGAGTGTGTTCAAATTGTATAATGGAGCATCACAGGTGGTTCGACCAGCAGCACTGCTTTCTTGTTTGCCACAAATTATGAGCGGTTATGTCAAAGGTTCCCAGCAATGTTCAGCTGAATTTTTCCAATCATTTTGGACAATTTTGGAGGAAAAAGCTCATCATCTGCAATCAACAGAACTTATTCCACAATATTGTAGCCTTGAATTTCTGAATTCATTTTGCTTCTCACTTAATAGTGAGATTCTATGCAGCGAGTGTGGCAATACTACAAGTAACATTGCCACTGAGACAGTGCTTCCATTATCTATAACAAAGGTAATACCCAAAGAGATAGAAAGTCATTGTCACAAGATGGTGGTGTTAAGAAGTAACAAAAATAGTTTAGTACATTTTCCCTTAATGTTAAATTAAAAATCATTCTAATGGGTATACCTTGATAAATTCTACACAGTCTACTTTTTTTTATTAAAAAGAGAACAATTTATTTAAATTTTCCTTGCTTATACTCTAAATGCTTACCACCTTGTCATATTTTTGGTTAGGTATTAAAATACAGGGAAAATGGAAAATATGATTTTATGCACATGTTTACTGGCAGTTGCAAACCAAACAAATCTTGTTTGAACAAAATTCAAAAACTGGAAACTCATTTGTTCTTTTAACCATAATATACCAGGGATTACCTTTACAAGATTTGTTGGATCAATATTCTGCAGCAATTCAATTGGAACAGCTCTACAACTGTGAAAGGTACAGTTAGTGATTATGTGATGCCACCAGTATTAAGCAGGTACAATTACAGTTATTATGCACTCCATTGAGACATCTCAAGTGTTACTGTCACTCTCACCTCATTTTTTAGTGTTAAAACATTATTTTATGTAATTTTTTGAGTGTACAGTGTTAAAATACTAGCACATAAATTTGTACCCCATGCACTTTTTGGCTATTTTTAAGGTGTGGTAAAGGAACTGATGCCTGGAAAAGAACCTTAGTGCAGAATCTGCCACAGGTATTATGCATTCAGTTATTGCGCTTTGACGCAAACGGTCAAAAAATAAGCTTGGAAATAGATTACCCACCTGAACTAACCATACCCGAGTATCAACGCGATTTAAATGATGGCAGAAGTGAAACATCGAGAGCAGAATACACCCTTTCTTCAATAATAGCACATGAAGGAAACCAAATATCGTCCGGGCATTATGTTTGCTTCGTTAACAGGAGCGGGAGATGGTTTTATACAAGTGATACCGTTGTTAAAGAAACATCACAGTTAGCAGCATATCACCAGAAGAATGCATACATGCTCTTTTACGAGAAAAAAGGAGCGACAAGCCCACACTAGGGCAAAGGTGTTTACAAAAGAAGCACCAGTGCCTACAACGAATAAAGAACCTGTTTTGAATATTAACACTTATGCGAAAGCAGTTGCAAGGGGTTCTTCCAACAACTCTCGTGCTAAAATGCACTGTTTGTCATTATCCAAGAAACGCAAGGCCACTCTTTCAAAGGTACCTTGTAGAGATACAAATCTCTCTATGTCAACATCTGTTGGTCCCGTGACAGACGCTGCAAAAACTAAAGAGTTCACAAAAGAAGATTCACCTCACCCTTTATCACCCACAATCACTTCTAATTCTAACAGTTCTATGTCATCGTTAACACCTGAACAAGAGTCAACAGCTGAAAAAAACGCAGTCTCAAGCTCTGAAACGAACTCCATGGGCCCAGCTCCCGAAAATAAGATATCGACAACTCCTAATCCTTCATCACCTCCAATAAAGATGCATGGATGTGACGAGAATTCGACCAACGACATAATAATTACTAAAATCACAAAATTGCCGACCAGTTCAGCACCTGACAAAGAGCAACAAGATATCACAATAAAAGTAACGGTACCACCCGATTACTACGTACCGATAGGTTTTCAAAGCGCCAAACCAGGTTTATTCAAAACCAGGATAGAGGGGAATGTCGTGCATTCGAACATGTATTTATCCCTAACTGGAGAGGAGAGAAAACGCGCACAAGAGACAGCAATTGCAGGCGTACACATTAGCGTTAGTGACAGAGTAAAAGAATGGGATCCGACAGACATCATTCGCCTACTTCCTGCATCACACAAGATTTCTGATTCCCTGTTATCTAACTTTTTGGTAAACAAGATTTTTCTGATGATCGAAGAAGAAGCAGTTAAGCAGGGAAAACAAGTCCACACCTGCAACATGGAAGTTCTCCAACGTATGACAGAACCTTCACTTGACATATTTTTAAAATGCAAGTATGATCAACTATACCCTCATATTTTAGATAGTGAAGTAATACTCTGTCCTTCATTACACGCAGATCACTGGTGTTTAGTTGCCGTATACCCAGCAATAAAAAGAATGGTTTATTTGGATTCACTTTTTCAAGGAATTGGGGCAAAAAGGGCATTCCAACGCGTAGGCAATTTCATTGAATGTGCCATGAAATTACAAGGACAAAAGTATAGTGTTGACGAGTGGGATTTTTTTGCAATCCCAGCGAACGACGTTGAACAACAGTTGAACTCAGTCGATTGTGGCGTGTTTGTGGTAAAATGGGCACAGCATATAGCTGAAGGTAGGATGATCGATTTTAAGCAACGACACATAAATGATTTCCGTTACTCGTTAATATTGGACATAGCAGGAAACAAACTTTCGTGTTTGTCGATTCCACTTGCCAGCAGCAAAGGTAGCAATAGTTGCGAACAAACAGCGAACAGTGATGCAGATCCTTTCAAATCATCACCAACTGAAAACAGTCATACAATCCTTCAAGATCATTGCTACTCGCTTGCTACGCCGGATAATATACCAGATGATATACCTGAAAGAACGAATGCTTATGTATTACCCCAGCATGTACAAAGCATACTCCCACCAACAGCTGTTTATAAATGCTTAGAATATGAAGAACTTTCGAACGACGATACTATGGAATCTAAGAAATATAGGGTAAAATTTAACATTAAAGATGTGTCAACACCAAAGGAAATCGAAAAATGGGTTTCTCAATTTGCAGCATCGTCAAACATCAAATACAATTCTCAAGGGGGTTATAAGAGGAAAGGTGTCAGAGTTTCGTTTGCCCAGTGGTATATTTGCGAGTGCAAAAGAAAGACATTGAGCAGGAACCAAAAAGAAGCGAAAGCCGAAGCTATGAAACGTAGACAGGAGCGTCATTGCACTCATGCTGCTAATGCTGAAACCACTGACAAGATCCATTTACTATCTAACATACGCGATAAAAAAACAGATTGTGAAAGCAAAATGGTAATAAAAGTGCGTACGAAAGCAGTTGAAGAAATTGTCTGTGATGTGGAATTATGGTGGAATCATAACCATAGCGTCAACTGTCACCACCTTACCACTTTTAGCCAAATCTTACCTGCGACAAGGCACAAATTTCTTACTTATTTTGAGCAGGGCATGTCTGCGTCTGAGTCGTTCCATCACCACGAAACAACGTTGATGAGAGATCCTGTTACTGTTCTTCTCTTGGCAGATAGAAAATACTGCCCGTCGTTGAGAGACGTTAATAATCTCTACGAGAAGTGGAGGAAAACAACAAAAGGACCATGTAATGGAACCGAATTGTTCGACTATCTGCAAGAGTATATTACGACATACAATAAGGATAAAGTGAGTGATGGTGGCAAAATCTTTCTACAAAGATATAACAATGACGAAAAGCGTGAGCAACCGTTGATAATTTCCATATGTACTCCAATGATGTCACGTGTACACAAGTTACGCCAGGCTGGTGAAATGGCTTTTATGGATGCATCCGGGAGCCTTGATCGACACAATAATCCAGTTTATTTTATGTGTACTCATCATCCGTCAGGTGCCCTTCCCTTAGCAGTGTGGATAACTTCCAGCCAATCAGAATCCACTTTGAATAGTTGTTTACACAGCGTTGTATCAGTGCTACCGCGACACGCATTTGGTGGAAAGGGCGTAGCGTCTGGTCCTTCAATTTTCCTCACCGATGATGACAGTGCCCAGAGAAATGCTTTGCGTGCATATTGGCATTCATCTGTTCTTCTCCTCTGTATATTTCACTTTCTTCAAGCTGTTTGGAGATGGCTTTTAGACAGTACTAATTCCATTAATAAAGATGATCGGCAGCACTTAATGTCCATTTGCCAAGGACTGGTATTCGCGGACACGGTAGAAAATTTTAATGCCAATGAAACCAAGATGCAGTCAGACAAAACGGTGTTAAAGTATCCAAATTTCAATAACTACATTAAAAATGCTATAGAAAGAAAAGAGCAATGGGCACTTTGTTTTCGCAGAGGACTCCTGACAAGAGGAAATAACACTGACAACTTTACAGAATCTATGATTTTCGTTTTTAAATGTGTCATCTTAAAGCGTATCAGAGCGTATAACTTATTAGAGTTAGTGAAATTTATAACTGAGGATTTGGAGATGTATTTTCAAAGGAAACTGTTAGCTCTTGCGTTTGGTAAGCCACAAAATCTTCATGTTACTGCGCGATGCTTTGGAAGAAATGCGAGTACAGTGCCGCTTGACAGTATCATCAGAGACACTGAAAAACCTTTTCATTTTAATGTTAAAAGCAGAAAGAACAAGGACCTTACCTACCAAGTTAATACCAGTTTAGGGATTTGTACCTGCCCACGTGGAGAAAATGGCTCAGGATGTGCACATCAAGCTGCGGTTGCTTTAAAATACGGAGGTGGTAACAGCAACTTTATCCCACGATCCGCTCAGGATCGATACGATCTTGCTGTTTTAGCAATAGGAGATAATCCCCAACTCGACGTAAGACAGTTTGTTCAGCTGCATGAAAAATCTGAAAGCGTTATGAACCTGGAGAATGATGTAAATAGAATTGAAACAGTGCCCCTAGAAAACAAGGAAAAAGATAAGGAGGACGATCAACATAGGCATGACACCGTCCTAGGCCATACAGAGGACGAACCTGTAGCCCTCGAGAAAATTCTTAAACTGCATCGGGAAGTTGCAGCAGACATCGAGTTGAAAATACGAAACGAGGATATTAACTTTAAGAAATGTTACTACAATTTTCTAAGGACTTATCGAAAAATAGTAACAAAATGCCGCGGTCATTCGCCTGTAGCATCACTTGCAAATGCTTTTGTACATTTCGGAAAGCAACAAAGCAGCAATCTTATTCCAGTCTTGCACAACGGGTCACGGATACGTGTTCAGCCAACGTCAATCTCTCGAAGAAAATCTGGTGTGAAGTCATCTTCTGCACAACCTTCAGGTCCTAAACCTAGGCTGCAAACGGTGTTGAAAAGAAAGTGGCAAGCAGATGATAAGGAAAAGCTGAAAATAAGGAAACTGGCCAAAAAGAAACGTCAACATAACTTAAGTCTGAATGTAAAGAAAAACCTTGCAAATGCTGGACCAAAACGATAATGAGCAGTAACAATCAAGTTATTAACTAAAGAGTATTAACTAATGTCAAGAATATTAATTAATATGAACTACACTAACTGAACAGAATAGCCTATGTTAAACAATATGCTTGTTTTTGCTGCTGTTGGAAGAGACTAACTACTTCTGAACAATTCCTTTGCCGCATCTCATGAAATTCCCAAACTGCCTGAACTAGAAAATGTTTCTCTCTGGTGGACCTAAGAACCTTTGTCAGGAGAGTTGATAACAACGTTTCCTCAATAAAGATTACTATAATTGTTGTAGTATCATGGACTAAGGCTTTACCCCCCCCCCCTCCCACTTTTTTGGCATCCAAATTAATGTTAAAGAGTTAATAATAGAAAATTAAAATCTCACTGAGGCATTTTAATTTAGGACTTATAAAGGGGAAGGGGAATAAGTAGAACAGTCAAATTGTCAAAAGAGGGATATAACACAAAAAATAAAGAATTAATGGGAGAAATCCTTGTCTGCACTCAATATATGTGATCATAAACTGCAAAATTATTTAAATCATGAATTTTGTCCTTAACTACAGGTAAAAATTAACTAGTCTTTTATACAGCTGGCCCTATTTTGACATGATTCATCAGTTAGGCATTCTGCAATAATTGTTCAATGACCAACAGATTCATTGCATTGTTATATGTTCCATATGTTAAAGTATATGGGTTAAGTAAAAAGTTAAACACTTTCTACAGCCCAGATTTTTCTAAAGTATGCTTGTGTAAATGTTGTAAACTTGTCAAAGTGATGGAGTGGGTGTATAATAATACTTGTGTACATTAAATGCTCAACATTGGTACAAAAATTACAATATTGGTCAACATTTCGATTCATTTGCTACAAAATTTATTTATCTAGTGCTTATTATTAC